TAATCTAGAGGTTTCAACTTTTAGTCTTTTCAACTTTTGACTGGAACCAGGCAAAACTATAAATCTGATCTTAGTTCTTTTTTGTCGTCTTTATTTGCTTCGTTGTTGCCGAACTTCTTCTGATTTGACTGAAATTCGTTGTTTTATCGAACTCCTAGGATAAATGCTGCCAAATCAAACTTCCGCAAACCGTTACGATTTATTTTGTAATCATGTCCAAAATAATATTTTATCCTGATTTCGATGTCACTGGTTAGTACGGACTAGGATAGGTTAATGCAGCCAAACGCGCGCGCTTTGGTTTTAATCGATTTAAGACGTCTTTTTTTCGCAAACCGTCTTAAAGTTGTAATCACAACTTTGTCTTCATTCCGTCTGTAATTTTACAGTGATTAAACAAATCGGACCCACTGAGCACGATTTTTTTTCACTGTCGATACAGACCGTCCCTCCACGAAGTCCTGTTACCGTTACTAATCGCTGTTTTCTTCATAACATTTTGCAGTGATACAACAGGCCCATTGAGCACGTACGAGCTGTCGATACCAGTCCCCGCTCCGTACAGGGCCATTTTCCCTGCTATAACAGAGGTAAGAGCATCATAGTCTGTTTCAGCTCCAAGAGAGTATTGCAGTCGTGCAATAAAAAAGTAGCAGTAAAAACACGCAAATCACGCCCGCCTTATAATCGCTTGGCTTGTTTTATTTTCGCTATCTGAGAGCCTAGCATAGGCTAAAAGCATCGCTGCTTTATTTCGTGATGGGTATAGCTAGGCGATTTTTTTAGTCCCGGACTAACGCGGGCAGCTAACCCAGTGGTGGATCCAGAGGAGGGGCCTTGGGGGGGTTGGGGGCACGTTCCCCCTTATTATTAGACCAAAATGAGAAAAAAATTGTTTTTTGAGACTCCCCCCCTCCTTTATCTAAGTGTCTGGATGACTGCCCTCCCCCTCACCCTCCCCACCCTCCCCCCCTAGTCTCAAGGTATGGATCCGGCACTGTTTTTAAACCTTCGATGTTTCTGAAGCTATGCTGGTGAACCAGTATATTTAACAATTATTCCTCGAGCCCGAATGGGCTCCGAGTCAATGGCCCATGAGGCCGAAACATGGGCCATTGACTCAGAGGCCATGAGGGCGAGAGGAATAATTGTTTTAGTAAAATCCGAGTAGTTGGTCAAACATATCTAGAATAAAAAGCTTTTAGCTAGTTAAAGCTAGACTTTAATCCTCTTTTGGCGCCAAAACGCCCGCGCTTTTCGCTACTAGTGGACTATAACGTACAGCCTAGTAGTAGCTCAGCCAATCAGAACGCAGCATTGATAATAGACCACTAGTTGGATTTTACTAAATATATATATGCTTCTGATGGGAAGTGTACGGTGTTGATCCCAGAAATCTTTGTACTGAAACCATGTATCCACTTCATAGAGCGTTTTCACTCACGAGGCCATCATCTATACATCATCATCTGTTGGTTGGAAACACCAACATGGCCCCGTTTTCATTGGTTTATGACACCAATATGGCGGCGTTTTCATTGGTTTATGACACCAATATGGCCACCGTGACGTCCTTAGAAACGCTTTACGGACTGGTCATTGTTAGCCTCGATTGCATGCTAGTACCAGTGCGCTGCGGAAAAAAATATATAGAGAAATGCTAAGCAGTTCTTTCTACTGGTCTTCTTTGTACGTTCCTGTGTAATGAATCTTCTTAAATATGATTGATATTTGTTTGATCTGTTACAGCCGTCCAAGCCACAAGACTTTGACGATGTTAAGGCTTCATTTGTCAAAAGAGTGGAGGATTTATTCGAAGACATTTCAAATAAATTTGCTGAACTAGAGACGTAAGTGGGATTTGATCTAGTCCCAGTTTTAGAAGCAATTTCCCGACCAAGACCTAAAGCTCCCCCATGAGATTAATGATCTACTCTTTTTCTTCGTATTCCTTATTGTTTACTTATTAGCCTTGTTTGAAGTCCTTACTGTAAAGAATCTAGGTGTTTTTTCTTAGATCCGTGATGTACAGTAACGCACCCTTTACAGTCACAGAGTTGAAGCGTGACTAATTTGCTCTCCTTTTGTAGGCAAAAAGAAGCGTTGAAGAACGCCGTAGAGGCTTTTCAAGAAGAAAAAAGAGCGCACATTGAATTATTCGAGAAACAGCAAAAGGTAAAACTGTCTTTGTGTAGTACAGCACAGTTATTTTTACCCGAACGTCAAGTAGAAAATACCGTATTTATTCGATTAAACGCCCTGTTCGCTTATTAAATTTTTGGACCTTTAGAGTGGGCGCTTATTCGAGGCTGGGCGCTTATTAAATTCTAACCAATTTCAGCAAGTGTAGTATGTCTATTTTGCAACAAAACAATAAATGGTAATAACAAAACGCGAAGATGTAACAAAGCAAGGTTTCTGTAAAGTACTCTGAAGAAAACTCCGTCTTTGGGGAAGTCTCCTATTAGTACTTTCAATTTCAATTTCAATCTCACAGTCACTCAAGTAGGTGGGGTAGTACTAGGGGTGGGCGCTCATTCGAGGCTGGGCGCTTATTAACCTTTTCTGCCTTTAGGATGGACGCTTATTCGAGGTGGGCGCTAATTCGAATAAATACGGCATTAAGTGAACCTGTATTTACCTGGCACTTCTATGGAAAAATCTTAGTTTTCTTTTTTGCCATCATTTAAGGGAATACTGCGTCTTAGTTCGCAGGCTACAGCTCATTCTGTGTAAAGTCCGATGTTACTTTCGTATAAACTCGCACGCTCTGTATATTGTCTTCCCCCACCCCCAGCTAAGCGGTGAAGGAGTAATGTCTGGTTAAATCTTATCTTAATCCTTTACCCTTTCTTGTAGGAGTTGGAAGAGATGATTGACAAGCACAGAATAGAGAACGAGGGCTGGATAAATGCGCGGAAAGAAGAACTTAAAGAAGAAAGAAAACAATTGGAAATAGATAAGGTATGAGTACCATTGTTTCTCCTCTTCTTTGGTCGGCGGTGGTCTGGTAAATTGCGGTACCGTTGTCTCTTACCCTTAGAGCGATGGAGAATCAACCTCGTGCCCAGGGCTTTTCCCTCAGAAAAAATTCCTGGGCACGAGGTTAGATGTTGGTGTGGTCAGACGAGACAGATTTGCAAAAAACTAAACCACTTGCTAATTTTAAGACTTAACCGATAGACGTGCCGTTTATTTACTATTAACGTTTTATAGTTTACTAAAATAAAAGCGCATGCCCTTTGTCATTCCGAAAGAGTGTTTAGCTTATTTTCGTATTTTGTTTACTTTCCAACAGAGACAACTGGATGAAGATCGCCAAAAACTTCGTCAAGAAAGAGAAGAATTTAAACAGAAAATTGAAGCCATTGAAAAACTTGGTAGTGGAGCTAGGCATACAATGAATGGGTCAGACTAAGTTTGTTTGTCTCCCGTGGGCAGTTGAGGCTTCTGTCGTGTAGTATCTCTACGGACATATGCCACAAAGTAGGGTAGGGTTTTCAAGTTCAATGCATAAATTTGGCGTGGTTTTAAATGTGATATTTCAATTCAGAGTGTACCTAAGGAAATAACGAATATTTCCGTGGGACGTTTCGTCACCCGACCTGCATCATGAATGACACTTGTCTGCCATAGATCATTGACAGGAATCCAAGGTTACGAAGGAAGAATGAGGAATTTTTTCCTTGAATGTGGTTTGCACACCTCTACCCTACCTGGAATTTAGTACCCCCAGGGATCTTTTAGTTGGTTGCTATTTGGTTCTAATATTGCTTGGGCTGAAGTGCGCAGAAATACACTTTTCTAGCCCTCTTCGGTCTCATCACTCGTTGAAGAGATCGTGTTGAAGGCTTGACTATTCTAGTCTTCTCGATAATCTTGTCTACGTCAACTGCTTTTTTCTCTTTTAAACGCGCTCCAACTCCCCCTCCCCCTCCACCTCCACCCTCTTTGGATATTTTTTAGGCGCGGGCTTCTCCAGTAACTGTGCCAGCAAAATGAACGTTCGCGCGCGCTGAAATGCATAGAAATGCATCTGTCCTTGCAGGGGGGAAGTGTGTTCCCTAATTGAAGGTTTTCCTTGTGTTTTTAATTGACAGTCGTAATAAAAAAGAGTCGCCTCTTTACTTGAAATGCAGGTTTACTTTTACCCTCAAGCCCCGCCCTGATTAGTCTCCCTCGCAGCCGTTTTTTGGATCCAAAAAACGGCTGCGAGGAGACTACGCCCTGATCGCTAGCTGGATTTGTTGTAGGTAGTCCCGAGTTTAAATTTTTGGCCACAATTGCAAAATAGCCAACTGGTTCGCCTCCTACCAGCTGGGATTCTTAACCTTGTTATTTTCCATTGGAATAATGTGCTTCGTTGTCCTTGAAAGCCCCATAAGGGGAAAGGATAATTACTGTAAGTATTTAAATTTAAATTTAAAGTTGTGCCTTTGAATGAAGTAGAAAATACGAAAATAATAGCGTATCTGTACGAATGTTTCCGATCATAAAGGTTTCATCCATCCATCCACTTAATTCCCCAGCTGTTAGTTATAACGCTCACACAGAAAAGTAAAAAACTGCAGATTTCAAACTTGAAAAGTGACAATGTTAAAATCTAAAACGGGACCGAAAACAGCGAAGAGAGATAATGAGGATCAATTTAGGTTTTTGGGAAACTGCCACCTACCCCTGCCCTAAAACAACATCGACACTCACTTCTCACTTAGGGCAAAATGTTGGGTTAGGGGAGGGGTAGATGATGGTAGATGATGGAGGTGATAGTTGAGTGAGTAGCGCGGATTGGGAGAAGTTGCAATAGCTCAAAATTTTCACGTGTATCTTAACACCCCTGTTCTTTGGTTAACTCATATATGACTCGCATTTGTTTTTTCACCTTAGAAAATAGTGTTTTTTTTTATTGATTCTTTTCTCTCTTCTTTTGTAATACATGGTCACATCCGAACCCATAGTACCTACTTTATCTGACATCGATTCCTCGGCCTAGAGGACAACTAATTGTGCACCTTAAAGTTATCGTAACACCGATGGAAATCGTCTTCTAGGACATATCTCACGATACAATAAAGCCCAAAACGATCATAATGGCTGGGAAAGTAGTTAGCTGTTGTGCCCATGAAATAGCCATTCCAGTACTGAGCATCGGTTTGACTGATAAGTTTCTGGCTGAGCTCATCAATTCTGTTGGCGTTGATCAGCTTGTTTTTGGACGGGTATCTTTTGCTGAAGGTGTAGTCAAATTTCCACACCGGGTTAGAGAACTCTGCAAGAACAGAATTAATTAAATTAGCGCTGTGAAACCTAAGCGTACTCGTACTTCTTGGATAAAGGTTCAAAGGTCGAGCATTAAAGGCAAACATAACGTGGTGCAAGAAGGCAAATTAACGCTTTGCTCCACCACGGGGCACTACAAGAATGGCTCTGTGGTTATTAAATGTACATATAATGGTAGAATTTCGACTAAGAAACACAGGTATACTGCCTTTCCAAAACGACGATGCAGACCCACAACTTTAATCGTCGTCTTTCGTAACCAGTGCTGATCCCTATCTCACATTTCAGTTTAAAAAGTCATTCCTAAGACGGTTTCAAGACAAATTGTATGCAGGTTAAACTCCTTGGCCAGTGGCTCTTCAATACAGACTTCTTTCATCAAAGTATTCTCTGTATTCTTTGTTTTGAGAACGCTTAAGCTGTCCTTGCAAAGTTTATTCCAGGGGCTTTTCGTGGCCGGTAACTGGTATCCATTTTATACCTCGCTCTGACGTTTTTTCCTCGTGTACCCAAAAAACACGTGACTTATCATGCAGTAAAATCACTACCTGTCGGACGTGTTCCTCTTATTTTTAATTCTCGCCCCATGGGGTCATTATACGTTTCTGGGAAACTGCCCACCTACCCCTCCCTTAAGCCAACAATAACACTTACCTCTCACTTACGGCAAAATGTTGGCTTAGGGGAGGGGTAGGTGGGCAGTTTCCCAGAGACGTATAATGATCCGCCCCATGAAGGGTAATCCGGATTACTGGCAAGTTTTGCTTATGGAATTCAGACTCAGGTAACTGTTTTCTCTTGGAATCCTAAATCCTAGCTTTGCAATCCGGAATCCAGCTTAAGGCACCCGGAATCTGCTAACGATTGGAATCCGGATTCCATTTCCACTGATAAAAGATATGGAATCGGTACCTGGAATCCGGAATCTAGTAACTGGAATCCGGAATCTACAGTGTTGAATCTAGAATCCAAGACTGTCTTGGATTACCTAACATGTAGCGAAAAGTCAACATTTACATACCTGTGGCTATCTCCAAGTCCAAGTAATGCTGATCGTAATCGACCAGCGCCTGTATATCTGTCCTCATGGTAAACACCTTGAAGGCGGGATTATTTGAGTAGATGGGCGATACGGAGGCAGTTTGTAGAACAAAGGACTTTGTGGACGTTTTCTCGTCTTCTGTGTTGAGGATTTGAAGACGGAAATCATCTTTATGCGTATGGGCGTAGAACTGTCCTGGAAATTAAACGAAAGCGAGATTCTCTTGCTGAGAATGTTCATGGTAAAATGAGATCGCACGGTAGCCAAAAAACGGATAGAAGAAGGTTTCTAGATGACCAGCAGACACTTACATCATGGCCTCTGGTTAGCCCCCAGCCCCTCTTAATAGCCCCCGTCTAATAAGCCCCAGCCAGTGCAGATTTAAATCGAACATGCGCGCCCAACCTCTCCCAAGCGCCCACTCCAAAATTGCCCTTTCTACCTATGGGAAACACTCTTAGCAAGAAGGCAATAACAAAAGGCAGTTATGATGTTTACGTCCCTCCATACACTATCCCCAGTGTACTTGACGGACTTATTCAATGAACGAAGTT